GCCCCAGTCCAGCCACCCGCGGGGCCCTAGAGTAGGCTAGGCCAGGGGAGCAGGGAGGGCCCACGCGTGTGAGCTACGTGCTCCCCGCCGGGTGTCTCAGTCCCCAGGCGGGAGTCGGGGGCGGCTGCGTGATAGGTCACATATCAGGCGGTGGTTGCAAGATGTGGACACGCTTGTGGAAGTGCTGTGGATTCGGTGGAACTTCCTGAAGGGGTGCTCTAGAGTGGGAGGGAGCCTCCGAGGTGAGGGCTCCCCAGGGCTATAGCTGCAGGCAGGCACGAGGGTGTGTCCCAGACCTTTCGGAATGAGGTCACGTGTGTGTGGTGTGTCCAAGTGTGAAGCCACACCGCTGGGAGAAGAGGGGTAGCCCCAGCTGCCTCGGTCTGGGTGTGCTGTCCCCCAGGGCTGGTGGCTCAGCCCCACCACCCCTTCCAGTCTGCTCCCCTCCTCCTGAGTCCAAGTCAGGACTAGCCAGGAGCGGCCTGCGGAGGTGTGAGCGCAGGGACCTCCACCCAGGACGCTACTCTGCCCCGCTCCCTCCAAGACACATTCAGTCAGTGAGCACCCCAACCTCCCGGGCACCAAAACACACTGTGGGTCTCAGACCTGTGGGGCTGCGAACAGGAGGAAAGAGGATCCAGAGGCGCCTGCTCTAGGGGTGGGCAGATTCGCTCCGGTCGGGCTGGTTTTCAGGATGTGTCCTCTCCCCTTCCTAAGAAAATGAGGCTCTTTACCACCAGCGGGAGAGCCCAGGGTTCCCAAGTCTGAACTCTCAGCAGGACCCTTGGCTCCCCCAGGTTTACTTCAACTGGAGTTGGGGAATTTCACAGTGGCTAGGTCTCAAGAATGAAGAGGGGTGTCTGGGCTACTGACTCCCAAAAGCTAGGCTGATTTATGTAGTTCATTTCTTTGAGGTTTAAAATAATTTCTGGCCCTGGCTCAGTTGGTTGGAGCTGTTTGGTGCACGGGAAGGTTGCAGGTTCTACTCCAGTCAGGGCGCACACCAAGGCTGCGGGTTCAAGCCTTAGTCCTTGGACCTGGTGCCTACCGGAGGCAACTGATCCTGCATCTCTCTCACATCAATGTTTCTCTCTCTTTCTCCCTTCCTCCCTCTCTAAAATCACTTTTAAAAAATTAAAAATAATTTCTGGAAAACTTACACCAAGGTAGCTCTGGAAGTAGGCGCCTGGCTGCCCCCTCTCAGGACCTGGCTTCTGTCCCCTCTTCCCACTCCACCCCCACCCCCAACTCCAGGGCGCAGTTAACGCAAAGATTTCCTTGACTTGATAACCTCAAGCTGTTGCAGGGTGGGGTCTGGACCCTAGGCTCCTGGAGAACCTATTACCCCGGACTCACTCCCTTGCTCTCACTCCACGCGGGAGACCCTACGGGAGCGGACCCCTTTCTCTCAAACACATTCGCAGGCTCCAGCGAGGGGAATTTGTCAGGAGCGAATGGCCTGGTTTCTGTCGCTGTCACAGAATCTGTCCGAGTCGGAGTGCGCCCGGCCGGGCCTAGTCAACTTTCTGGAAGCTCTCTGCCCCATTCTGGCGCACACCCCCTCCCGCCTCCCCCTCCCCAGTCTGGTCCTGGGGTTTGGCTTCCCTGAAGAACCCCAGAGAGGTCCCGCTGTCTGCGGAGCGGCGGGGTCGGCGCGCCTTCCTGGGGATCCCCA